AAGAGAGGTTAATAACTATTTAAGGCTAATAACTATATAAGAGAGGGTTATAACCATGTAAGAGAGGGTTATAACCATGTAAGAGAGGCTTATAACAATGTAACAGAGGCTTATAACCATGCAAGAGAGGATTATAATCACGTAAGAGAGGATTACACTCATGAAAGAGCGGATTACTATGATAAAAAGAGGATTTTAACTACGTAAGAGAAGCTTATAACTACATAAGCGAGGCTCATAATTACGTGAGAGCGGATTATAATGAGCCTTTAATATTTCCCTACAACGATTACATTAAACTAATCCATTTAATGATCATTGATGATAAGATCATAGACATGACCTGACAAGATTAGACAACAACGCCTTACGCTGCTCAGGAACTGTCTACTCACGAGCGTTCCTGAGCCGCACATGGCGACGGTATAACGCAGGGGAAATTATGCTGTTTCCTCCTAATGCTGTAATTAACTACCCAATGCTGTAATTAACTACCCAATGCTGTAATTAACTACCCAATGTTGTAATTAACTGTCCATTATTCTAATTACTTTCCAATTCCAATTCAAAATATGATTATTACAAATGTCAGACAATTAAATGTATATGTATACACATGTATGATGTTGTATTCTTTTTGTTGCGTTCATTATATCCATAATTTTGTATTCACAATACGCTCTGTGTATTAGTGGCTTCAGGTACAGTGCATTTGATGTTCATGTATCCTCCACTGTTATGTATGTGTTGTCTATTTATGTATAGTTCCTATGTATGTACTTTGGCCTAAATATTATTATTATTATTATTAGTATCATCTTACAACACTCTACGGTATATGCTCACAATTTTTAAGATGAAAAAATACATTCGAGTAATTCATTAAGAATGATTAATTCTGAATCCTGTTACTAGGTTGATTACAAGGCTGAAGCCTGCCACTTGGATGGCTTAGTTGTCGAAGCCTGCCACTTGGATGGCTTAGTTGTCGAAGCCTGCCACTTGGATGGTTACAAGGATAACGCTTGCCCCTTGATTGGTTAACAAAGCTGAAGCCTGCTCTCCACTACTGTTTCATATCACCCCCCTCTACTCCCCATCTTCATTCCTCCCCACCTCTTCTCACCCCTTCTACTCCCCATCTCCAGGGAGCTGCAGTTCTTGATTTCAATAATAAAGTTTCATTACGACCACACAAGTGTTTAAACTGCCAGCTGGTTAACAGGAAGGGATGAAAGTCACATTTTTATCGTCGCTTTGATGATCGTGTTGGTGTGACACAGGGGGGGGGGGTATTTTATGATGTATGATTGTATCTGAGTGTGTCGGATGTTGTATAGCAGTGTATAGTGTGGGGGTCCTTCTTATACATGGGTGTGCGTTCCTCTACTCTGTATGTGTTCATATAAAACGTGCTTGGAGGGTCAGGATCTAGCTCATGAAGTGTGTGTGTGTGTGTGTGTGTGTGTGTGTGTGTGTGTGTGTGTGTGTGTGTGTGTGTGTGTGTGTGTGTGTGTGTGTGTGTGTGTGTGATATCTTTAGATATTATTTGCTCAAAATGACTTTATATATTTTTTTCCAAAGTACAGGAGCATAATGGATTTTTATTTCTACACATTTTAAGTAATGTTTAATTGATACAACTATTGAGTGAAAATCTTCCCCACAGCGTTACCCCACAGCTCAAGCTCCCCACAGTACTGTCAGACCCCAAGCTCCCCACAGCACAAGCTCCCCACAGCACAAGCTCCCCACTGCACAAGCTCCCCACAGCACAAACCCCCACAGCACAAGCTCCCCACAGCACAAGCTCCCCACAGCACAAGCTCCCCACTGCACAAGCTCCCCACAGCACAAACTCCCCCCAGCACAAGCTCCCCACAGCACAAGCTCCCTCACACCACAAGCTCCCCACAGCACAAACTCCCTCACACCACAAGCTCCCCACAGCACAAGCTCCCTCACACCACAAGCTCCCCACAGCACAAGCTCCCCCACACCACAAGCTCCCCCACACCACAAGCTCCCCACAGCACAAACTCCCCACAGCACAAGCTCCCCACAGCACAAACTCCCCCCAGCACAAGCTCCCCACAGCACAAGCTCCCCACAGCACAAGCTCCCTCACACCACAAGCTCCCTCACAGCACAAGCTCCCCACAGCACAAGCCAGCAGGCTGTGCTACAGGGCGACAGAGGGACCATTTTACCCATCAGCCTCGTGGCGTCAGCAGCAGCAGCAGCAGCAGCAGCACTTACGCCATGGAAACATCACCTCTGCAAGAGCAGGCTTGCAACATGTGCTAGATCAAACACGTGGGAACCAGCGGGCAAGCGAAGAGCGGCAGTGAAGGGGACAACCACTGGCAAAAGCACCAACCTTCGTGAGAACTACGACTGCAGCTCTCCGTGTCCATCATGGAACCTGCCCACTGCACAAACGACGCTAGTCAAGGGTTCTGTGAAATTTTTGCCTGAAAGCAACCTGCAACAAAATTAACAATGCCAAGACCCAGCAGTCACAACTTTCCATTGCATTTCTTGCGACCTTGCAACACAAATGAAATGGTCAAAGCCGTGGATATTTGCTTTGACTGAATAGTTGGCAAGTGTGGGAAAGTTAAGAGTGCAGAGTGGTGAGGCGACTATAGTAACCCGAGACCCCGTACCTGGCCAGCTGCTCCACATATGGGAAAGGGGCAGATGCAAATAGCTTTGAGGTGAGAGACAGGTAGGTAGCCACTCAGGAAAACGGTCTGTGATGTAATTAAAAATAACCGTACCTGGGCGCTACCTGACAGGATTTCCCTCACCCGACACTCAATATTGCCATTTTTTTTAAATATACAATATAGCTTATAGCATCAGCGTGTGAATCTGCAGTGAAAAGGATGGTACCCCACTGAATAAAAACCGCCGAGGTGCAGACAAAAGCAACATACGCGGCTTAGACTACCCACAAAAGCTTCGATGGACGATAAGGTCTTTTTTTATATATACGACAATACGGGACCTGCAATCAACATCTGCGTGAGACTTCCCTGTGAGCGTATGGCATGGCCACCAGGGAATAACAACGCCTTATAATTAAAAAATGCCAGAACCGTTTGACCCTTCATTGGAATGAGAAAGCCATGACTGACTATATCGGATGGTCTCATCTCTTATGGAATACAATTGAAATCGCAAGGCGTGCGAATCCCCAGCGGACGCAGCTTGGCACAGCCACCACCACCTCCAATGTAGTTTCAAGATACCAAAAAGTGTTTGAAGTTGCATGGATGTGGTGAAGCCACGTGGGCTACAGGGAGCCTAAAGGTACAGCACGTGATGGCGGGGCGGGGAAGGTCGGGGTACAGCCTGCGTCAGGAAACTCCCTGTAATGTGGTATGAAATTATTTAATCCACGAGGCGAGGGGCGTTGTCCTCAGAGGTTTCGAGTGTCGGCGCTCTCTCTACAGGTGCTTATGGCACTACCTGGCACCATGGACGAGAGAGAGAGAGAGAGAGAGAGAGAGAGAGAGAGAGAGAGAGAGAGAGAGAGAGAGAGAGAGAGAGAGAGAGAGAGAGAGAGAGAGAGAAAACAGTCACATGGAGCAGGTAGACAGAGGATGATGGAGCAAGCACATAAAAAAAGAGGAAAACTTATAAATACCAATGATATTTGCCCAGCTTGAGTTCCTCTCTCTCTCTCCTCACCCGTCTCCCCTCACCCAGCCGTCTCACCCCCTCGGCCGGGCAGCTGCTGGTAGGTGGGACCCATGAGAAGGGTGATGGGGGGGGGGGTGAAGAGTGGGGCCTGGGACAACAGAACTGCGGCGCTGTGACAGAAAAGGCGGGGAGAGAAGGAAGTAAGGAAGTAGGGAGGAAAGTAAGAAGGGAGGGAAGTGAGGAGGGAGGGAAGTGAGGAGGGAGAAAAGTAATAAGGGAGGGAAGTGAGGAGGGAGGGAAGTAAAGAGGGAGGGAAGTAAGGAGGGAGGGAAGTAAGGAGGAAAGGAAGTAAAGAGGAAGAGAAGTGAGAGAGTCCCATAAATAGTTTTGATATATTCACTGATACACAAGTCACTTCCCACAAGGACATTGGCAGCGACAATTATTATTATTATTATTAATATTTATTATAAATATTATAATAAGTATTTGTATCATAATTATTATGAATATTATAGTTAATTTTCATGATAAACGATAGCAAGTTTACAACATTTATGGGTGAACGGAAGACTTTAATGACAGGGTGAGGCAGGGTGTGTGTGTGTGAAGGGCAGGGTGAGGCAGGGTGTGTGTGTGAAGGGCAGGGTGAGGCAGGGTGTGTGTGTGAAGGGCAGGGTGAGGCAGGGTGTGTGTGTGAAGGGCAGGGTGAGGCTGGGTGTACTCACCTACATTTACTCACCTGTCCTTTTGTTTCCCGTACAGCATATTTAAATAATGTGAGACTAGGAACATTTTAAGCAGCACCAGCATGGAATGCCTCGCTTCATGGAGCGCAAAGGACAAGTGTAGAAGATACAGAGTGGCTACGATATTAGCGTCAACAATATGTAGACTTATCATTGGAATACCCACCCTAGAGAGCAGCTGGGACATCAGGCATCATAGGTACCGAGGAATATGAGAAAGTGGAATGAACTAGAAAGATTTTTGTCTTGCTCGAGAATCGAACCCGAAATCCCCGATTACGAATCGGGAATGAAGCCAACTGCGACAGCTGTAACAGCTCTATAATCACTGTCTTCGGAAGACAGATGAATATAGCTATATCTATTACCGTTTGTTCAAGGAGCAAACAAGCCCAGGCACTCGGGGCTAGCCTCATTAAACTTTACAGGGCGAGTGGTGGGACTCAGGGGACTATCATAGGCAGATTGGGGAACAACCTCGTTGCCCCTCTTTAAGGAGAGGGATTTCATTAAAACCTCTCCCCTTCTCTTTCATGTGGGTTGGCTCCATGGCCACCCCGGTCGAGGACCGGGCCTGGTCGAGGACCGGGCCGCGGGGACACTAAAAAAAAGTCCCGAAATCATCTCAAGATAACCCGTCTGAGACGAGTCAGCAGTATATGAAGATACCCCCATGAAGTCTATGAAGATGAAATAGTGGCCGCCGAGTCCATAGAGTTTCAGCAGCTGTTCAAATATGTAAAATGCATTTCTATAACAGATTTTTCATATTTTCCAATATTTAAATGGTGCAACCTTCTGGTGGACGAATAGGGACCATAGAGCCAGTATAAGTGTACACGAAGAGGGACCATAGAGCCAGTATAAGTGTACACGAAGAGGGACCATAGAGCCAGTATAAGTGTACACGAAGAGGGACCATAGAGCCAGTATAAGTGTACACGAAGAGGGACCATAGAGCCAGTACACTACCCGACACCAGCAGTGTCAGCGGGCGTGGAGGCCGGCCACAACAGCCGACAACGCCCGCAGCTCTCACTCTCACATCAACAATAACCTGGCATGCGGAAGGGCCTTATAAACTGCTGACACGCAGCATTCCTCAACCTTCTCCCTTACTCGGGAGAACCGGGGATGCTGAGGGAGGTGACGGCTCGGGAATGAGACGTCATCAATAGGCCTGGCTGTCAACAGTCAGCCGAGTTGTCAAAACTGTCAGAGGTGAGAAGTGGTGTCAAAGGAGCCGTGAACGAGGGGTCGGTAGGACTAGCTGGATGGGGGAGGGGGAGGGGGAGGGGGAGGGGGAGGGGGAGGGGTGGTGAAGGGGGGGGGGGAAGATGGATGCACCAATTAACCAGACCTTGTCGTCGGCAATATTGTTCGCCGCCTCTCCATCTTCCAATTACCTCACCATAGGCCCCTTGAGTCCTCCTCTCTGCTCCCACCACAGTCTCCGTCACCATTAGTGATGGTGGTCCGTCACCATCACCTCTGTTGATGGTGGTCCTACACCACCACCTCCAATGTTGATGGTGTTCGTGATTTACAATCCACGGACCTTGGATCGATTCTTAGCCGAGACAGAAACAAATGAGCAGTTTTTTTTCCACCCGATGCCTCTGTTCACCTAGCAGAAACAAGTACCTGGAGGTTACACGGTAGGCGTGGGCTGCAACCTGGAAGGGTGTTGGGTGTGTATTTACTATTTGAGCCTGCAGAACCGAGCTGTTAGTTCTTGGACCCCACCCTATTTTCCTCTCTCATATGTACATATATTTCTCTCTAACACACACACACACACACACACACACACACACACACACACACACACACACACACACACACACACACACACACACACACACACACACAAGAAGAAGCCCGTAGGAGCTGTCTCTCAGACACCCATTTACTGCTAGGTGAATCGGGAAAAGGCTCGCCCTCAATTATCAGGAGGTGTTCAATGTGGTTACATACCAGAGATTGCCATAGACAGTTGACAATCAGAGGTACCGGGAGGCTGCTAAACTGAATTAGAGCGTACGTCTCTGCTTGGGAAGAAGGTTAAGATGAGAGCAAAACTCTCAAGAGTGAAAGGTCACAAGTGAAGTAGCAAGAGGTCTGTCTTATGGCCTGACATACGTAAATGACCTGGATGAAAAAGTTGATGATTCAAGTCAATGTTTGCAGATAATTTAATGCTAATGAGCATTAATTACAAGAATGTAAAATCAACTTAATTGTTCTCTGTTAACCCTCAATGTACCTTCTTGTAAATAAATAAATAAATAAATAAATGAAAAGTGTCATAACTCGTGAAAATAAAAAAAAATAAAAAAAAAACAATGGAGGATGACCTGAATAGTCATGAGGGAAAACGTGAGTATTACAACTCTACTTGCTAAATATGAGAGAATAAAAATATGAGTTGCGACATAATCACTCACCTTTTTGCCTCACTCCTCACCTTCACTACACCTTCCTCTCCTTGTATAAGCAGCGAGTCTTCTCTACGTCTGTAAAATATTATATACAACCATTACACTCTCATCTTCAGTTAAGACTATTATCAACGTCTTTATCCTGCACCACATCGTTAAGAACAAAAAGATATGTAAAAATATGAATTTACAGAAAATAATAATATATATAGGAATATAAATTAAAGCTGTACAATGGGATCGAACCTCTACATCCCTGAACTCCCTGCCTGAGGAGTTTAGAAATGCGGGGGTTCGATTCCACTCACAGATTCTTCAGGGTCTTGTGGTTGCATTGTGCAATAATATATAAGTTACGCCTAGATATTTCTTACACAAATGATGACTTACACAAATGATGACTGTCATCATCATCAAATGATGACTGAGTCACATTAAAAAGATAGAATATAACAATAAAAAGAACCTGACGTGATAGTTTTCCGAAACAAAAATCATTCAGGTGATCATGAATACAATGATCAAATCATTGTGAATACACAATCGACTTGAGAATGGTCCAGGACCGAAACGTGGCCGTCTCATGGTCTTCTGATGAGTGGTTTGATCATCATATCTTCAGCCACGTTATTGTGACTCATCGTCTGCTCACGAAAACA